AATTATATAATATATAATTAAAATAATTACTAATCTGGATATAATTAAGGAAATAGGAGTTGATGTTGGGTTGGGTTGGTTACATTTTTAACTTTATAATGCTATAACTCATTGAAAAGTGTACGAATCAACACAATTTTTTTATGAGAAATAATATTTTTTAATAATCCCTTTTTCATTCGACATACTTTATCTTAATCAGGGTATTAATAAGAAACTAGCAGATAATGTAGCTTTTGTAATTATCCACCAATTTCTTAGAATTAAACACTATCTACTGATTTGCATCGAAGCGTTTCTTATGATAGTGATTTTAATCACTGTCAGATTAAATCTATACTGGACCCAACTATGCAACATCCCCACTATGCCGCGACTCCACTGTGCTGGGTTTTTTTTTATTTTAAATGGACGTTAGTCCAATAACAATTTACATGGGTGTAAAGTAAGATACAAGAATAAAAAACAATTTTATATAAATGCGAAAAAGTATACAGTATTATGAAACAAACTATTATAATATAAATGAATATAAAAACTCAGAAAAGTTCACTAAAAATACAAAAAAATCATTTAAAAAAAATCAAACAAATATATATTACCAGCTGTCATCAAAAGGTTTGCAGGGGAATTTAAAATGTAATTTTTTTTTGAGAATTGAGGATAAAAAGGTTTAGGATTTCTAGTATTAATATTATTTATTTTTAAATTAATTAATGATAGGAGTTCCGGACAATCAATGAGTCCTAATAATAATTTATGTAAAAATTTTGAAATCAAAAGCATTCGACGTTCTTTGAGTGTATTAAAATTAAGGTAATTAAGAATGCTGTCATAAGAGCTATGGGGAGGTCTGTGTATGTTAAATTTAAATGAAATAAAACGGAGAAAATTATTTTGAACAGATTCTAGTGCGGTGTTTTGTTTAGAAGTATTGTTTAACCAAATTAGAGGACAGTATTCAAGATGGGAACGTACAAGGGAATAAAACAGAATTTTTAGAGGAACAGGATCTATAAATGAGCCACAAGTGCGTTTAATAAATCCCAAATTACGCATAGCTTTATTTCTTATCATTTCTGTGTGAGGGGAGAAATTTAATTTAGAATCAAAAATAACGCCTAAATCTTTAAATTGAGAAACTAGCTCGATATTTATATTGGAAATAGAATAACAATAATTAATTGGGTTTTTTATTAGATAAAAGTGCATAAATTTACATTTATCCACATTTAAAAATAAGTGATTTTTATTACACCATGTGAGTAAGTTATTAATATCTGATTGTAAACAAATTGCATCTTGTTCAGATTTAATTATTTTTATTAATTTAGCATCATCAGCAAACATAAGGATATTAGAGTTCATTATAACATTAGGCAGGTCATTAATAAAAATATTAAATAGAAGTGTAGACAGGTGGTCTCCTTGAGGAACGCCTGAAGGGACTGGGAAAAGTGACGATTTGAATTTGAGGTATTTAACAATTTGGGAACGGTCTGAAAGAAAAGATTGGAACCATTTAAGAAGTGATCCAGAGAAACCAAAAGATTGTAATTTTTTAATAAGTAATACATGATTAACTTGGTCGAAGGCTTTGGAAAAATCAGTGTATATTATATCAGTTTGAGCATTAGATTCAAATGACTGAAGTATTAAGTTTTTTGTTATGGCTAAATTATTACATGTTGAGCGTTTTGGTATAAAACCGAATTGATTATTTATTAGGACTGAGGAGCAAAAATTGTTAAGTTTAGATGAAATTAAGTGAGAGAATAACTTTGGGATTGATGATAATTTTGAGATTGGGCGATAATTTGAAATTAGTGAAGGATTACCCTTTTTTAAAATAGGTGAAATAAACGACGTTTTCCAAAAAGATGGATAGGTACCACTAGCGAGGGATAAATTAAAAATACTAGTTAATATCGGTGTTAGGATAAATCTACAATTATAAAGGAAAATAGTAGGTATCTCATCTGGGCCTGCAGTTGAACTTAATTTTAGGTCAGAAATCATATTAAAAACCTCTAGTTCAGTAACAGTAATGGAATTTAAATTTAAAGTAGAATTTAAATTAGGGTTATCTACATTTAAAGAGGGGGAATTAAATGTTTGAGATGAATTACAATAGGCATCAGAGAAGTATTTACTAAAAAGCTCAACGATATCAGCACCATTTTCGGCAACTGATCCATTTAAGGAAAGAGAGCAAGGTAGAGCATCATTATTGGTTAAATAATTAATAAATTTCCAAAAATATTTTGGATTCTGTTTAATCAAAAACTGGTCTTTATTTATGTAGTTTTTGTGATCTAATTTAGCATTTCTTTTGCATTTAGCTCGANCTTTATTTGTGTAGTTTTTGTGATCTAATTTAGCATTTCTTTTGCATTTAGCTCTAAGACGGGAGAAATTAATATAATCTGACATTTTGTTAGATTGTTTATAAACAAGGTGAGCAATTTTTTTTTCTTTTACTAATAATTTAAGCGAATTGGAGTACCAAAAAGGATATGAATTATTATATATACGTTTTATAGGGACATAATTATTGATTGCTTCGTACAAAATATGGTAAAACTGAACAACTATTTCATTTATATTATAGGATTTTAAATCAATAGTGGAGAGTGAATCACCAATAAATTTAACAATTTCGTTGTAATCACAATTATTAAAATCATAAATTAAATCATGTGTAGTTTTTAAGATTTCATATTGTTCACAATTTAGTGATATATTAAGAGCCGGGTGGTGTTTATCAATCGGAATTAACGGATCAGGGTCATTATCGACGGTTATGTAAGCATTAGATAGGACTAGATCAAGAATGACATTGCTGTGATTGCGTATAAAATTAAATTGATTAAAATTATAGTGTGATAGCATGCTAACAAAATAAGAATCGATTTGAGAATTACAAATTAATGGTAAAGAATAAAATGACCAATCTAATAAGGGTAAATTAAAATCACCTAATAATATAAATTTGGCTTTAGGATTAGATAAGTAAAGTTCATTAATAGATAGGAAAAATTGTTCATAAAGAGTAAGAGGTGAATTGGGCGGGATATAAATACAGCAAATAATAAATATATTAGCTCCTAGTTGAACTTGAATAAAAATCTGCTCAATACATTTAACAGTAACATTTAAAATTTTACAAATTATATGAGATTTAACAGCAATAAGTACTCCACCACCCTTAGATAAATTACTTGTGAGAACATTTCTGTCACATCGAAAAACATTATAATTTTTAAAGCCTAATTCCGAAGAATTTACATTATTTGTGAGCCATGTTTCAGTAAAGGTAAAAATATCTAAAGATGACAATGGAATAAATGAATTTAATTTATTTAATTTGGTATTTATACCACGAACATTTTGATAATATATTGATAAAGTACATGAAGTGCGATTTAGTTTTTTGGATTATTAATAATAGTTGGGTTACCTTTAATATATTTAATAATAATATTTTGTTCACCATTGTTGCGACGAGATTCGAGTTCTTGCCGTAGCTTTGACATCTGTTCACGCTGTTTCATAGTGCGATCCGAAGAGAATCTTATTTCTTTAAATTGATTTGAGGAACGGATTTTGGATTGCGCTCGTAAAATGTCAAATACATTTTTAGTATCGTTGAACGTGATTTTCAATGGACGAGTTCGAGAAGAAGGGTTGCCCAAGCGAAAATACCTAACAGGATGGATTTTTAGTTCCATTTCATCAAGAATTAATTTAATTTGGTCACTATCAGGTTTAGTTTCAGTCGGTTCGGGCATATTGAACAGAATAATATTATTTATTCTCGATTGTCTATCAGCAATTTCGTTAATTATATCAAAATGGGTTGTATTAGATGTTGATGTAGCATTCTGTTCAAAATTTTTGATCTTGAGCTCGAGTTGAGAAACCTTATTATTTAATAGAATATTTTCATCAGTTATTTTTTTTATTTGATTCAAAAGATCGTCAAAACGATTATTGAAGTTTTTTATTGTTTTATTTTGGTCATTGAACGATTGAATCAACTTATTCTGCGTTGATTTGATCTCATTTAATGTTTTTGTTATGGATGCAAGTTGCTCCTCCATAATTATAAGAGTTAATAGTTTATATGATTTTAAAAATTAATAGCGTAAATAGGAATACGTATATGTTTGAGGTAAAATTAAGATACCGTGTTACCGACCGTTAAAGTCTCCAGAAAGTAAATAAAAACAGCTGATATTAGGTAGAATGAATCGATGTGATAAGAATAAATAAAAATGAAAACAACCAACTTGTATCCATGTACAGTATTAATCCAAAGAAAAACTTTGGTAAACTTAAGGAAAGATTGGTTTAATTCATTGAAAACATCGGTGTTTGCTTTATGTAGGTAGGTAACTGAGGTACACTGCACAAAGGTAAAAAATAACGATATAACTGTGAGAATTTAAAAAAGTTTAAAAGAGCTATGTTACACCTTAAATTGTGTTATCACTTATCACTTTAATTTGATATATGTTTGATAGACGCAGTATTTCCGGAACATTTTCAAAAATTAAGTTGAAAAAGTTAGATTTTGTAAAAAAGTTGCTATTTTAAATCCCCCCCAATGAGCAGGTTAAGTGTTAGATTTTCAAAAAAATGATATTAAATGAAAGGTAAATATTTAAGGTTTTAGTATAAAAAAAA